TTTTTTTCTTTTTTTTTTTTTTTTTTTTTTTTTTTGCTGGCCTTGTGGATTCTTTTTCCATTCATTAGCAAGCTGCTTTTTCTTTTTTTTTCTTTGTGAACACAATTAGACAAAAGAATAAATCAGTCGACAACTGTGGGACATAATTCTGGCCATACCAGGGCTGTATGTGCTCTCATTTGCTCAACAGTGCAAATCTTTCAGCGCAGCACAAGTCAGAGCCTTCCACTCAGGTTGGAAAGGGAATGATGCCTTGTGTGAGCAACATGAGCCCATACAGTGCTTTGGGTTCCCATTATCAGAGTGTTTCTCCACCAGGAGCATCCCAGTCTCCTTCCTGGAGAGGCCTGAAGGCCTTTGGGAATACTTCAGGAGGTTGCTTCCCTTTCCTCTACCACACTTCTGAGCTTCAGAAGCATCACCAGGAGGATGGTTCCCTGGGGGTTGTCTCCCAAAGGGATCTTCTGTTGTTGTTCTGGAGCAGAATCTGGATGATCTCACTGCTTTTTTTCATAGCTGGAGGGACCACCAACTCACTTTGACAAAGGATTTGATTCCTGAGAGCTGCCCTTTGTTGCTGGCCAGCACTTCTGTCCCTTTTAAAGGCCTTTCTGAGATTGTAAATCCTGTTCTGACAGGTGGATCCCACCCAGAGCTCTTGGCATTGCTGCAGGTCACATTAACCTTCCTCTGTCAAAAAAAGTCAGGTGAAGGGAAGGATCTAGGATGGATTTCCTCACGGTTTATCCTTTCTCAACCAACATTTCCAACTGCTGCAGTTGCCGTGGGTGGGTTTCCCCTCCCCAAGTGCTTTCAGCTGGCCAGGCTTCCCATTTCCAGTGATTTAAGAAAGATTTCTTCCCGAGTAACATAAACACTAAGTCTTTGCAAATTTCTTTTGTAAAGTTGTTCTCGGGTTTCCCCAGCTATTTTTCCAGAGATTACCAGATAAATAGGCCTCAGGAAAGATATACCAGGGAGGGCAACTGTAAATACGCCAAAAATGTTGAGAATAATTGTCAAGGCTTAATGCATAGCTAATGGCCTAATCTGCAGTATAATCACAAGGCATTCACACTCATCTCCTTGCTTGCTTTCAACACAGTCTCCCTGGGATATGCATCTGTTTAAAGTTTATTTATTGTACCCAAGAAAATTCATCTTCTATTCATAATGTGTTCTCCCCTGCTTTAAAAATCAGTCTCTCTTATTTCCATGTGACTCGTCAGTGACGTGATGACCCAGAACAGACCCCTTAGAACAAAATGCAGCACCAGTGTGGACAACCCATTGGGAATGATGTGTTAGCACTGCAGAGTAGCCGAGTCATGGCTGGATTGGGCTCCTGGGCAGGATGAGGCTGTCTGTGGAGGGAGAGGGTGGCTGATGGAGAGCAGAACGTATGCAAGTCATTGCCTCCCTGGAATCCCTTTCCAGTTGCTGCAGAGACAAATTTACCAGTCAAAATATTGCAGCTTTTCACGTCCAAGTCAGCAACGTTTCCTGTTAGCACTGTTTCACATTGTATTTCGTGAGCTGTTTTCGTGATTGTCTCAAAACCTCTGGAAAGAGAGCTCTGTCATTAATTTTACTCTTCTATTCAATGTTGGCAATTTGTGCATTGTGCCTGCCCAGTGCAAACCAGGAAGTCTTACTTGACAATGTTGCTGCTGTGTGCAGGAAACCCAAAACGCAAAAAAACCCATTGTTTTGCACTTAGACAAATTCAATGCCCAGCACCAATCCTTTGCTAAATTGGGATGCACTCTGGGTAACCTTCCTTCTTTAGTAACAAATGCGACGTCTAAGCTGTCCTGAGCTGGGTCTGCATCGCCATAGGAGGGTCACTCTTTAAAAGTGCTTTTTGACTCATGCTCTGAATGTGTTTGCAGAAGGCTGTTCCTTGCAGTCTCCAGCAGCACAGCACCAGTCCCTGGTGAAACATTAAACCGTCGATCCTCCCTACATTCACCAGGAGGCGGAGTGTGACAGCCCTCTCCAAAACACTGGGCTCCCCCCTGCACTCCACCATGAGGTGTGCCTCACCTTCTCATCATCTCGTTGTGTGCCATGAGAAGGTCCCTCGCTCCTCATCCCTCGGTTTGGCTGGGCTACCTGGGAGGTCAGGGGGTCTGCAGGACTTGGTAGAATCGTAAAATCACAGAATGGTTTGCATTGGAAGGGTCCTTAAAGATCATCTAGTTCTAATCCCCCTGCCCCCAATGTCTTTGGCAAAGAGTGGTCCAGGGGGATCCAACAGCAGCCTGCAGCTGCTCCAAGCACTTGGAGGTGATCCAGCCAAATGCATCTTGATGGTGGCAGCTGATGCCTCAAGGGACAGTGGCCGCTGGCTGCAGTTTGAGAAATGTGGATTGGTCATTAGGAAAAACATCTCCCCAGGTACTAGAAAAGTGGCAGATCTCTTTCCCTGGGTGTTTTCGAAGCTGGCGTGGGGAAAGCCACAACTGAGCTGATGTGTTCAAACAGGAGGGAGGACATGATCTCTTGAGGTCTCTTCTCACCAGAACCCCATAATCTACAAAGCCAGGGTGCTGGAATTTCTGTTTTCTGTTCCTCTTTAAAATAAAGATAATACTGAACCAGTCCTCCAGGCTTCAGCAGATGAGCAAACAAATAAAACTGAGAGCAGACAAGCAAGGAAACAAAAACCCAAGCAAACAAACAAACAAGGAACAACCAAACAAAAAGGACAAAATAATTTTGTTTGTTTGTTTGAATTCCTCAGTTTGCAGTCAGCCTCCTAATCTGTGTGAAATAAATACTTTTTTCATTTTATGTATGTTTTGGGTTGGGCTATTAATCTGTAGTCTTAGTGGAGTCACCTGTGAGCACTTTGTAGTGCAGGCAGTCTCTCAATTTGCAGCACCTGGTTCAGGGGAGAAGGGGGTTCTAGTGGAGATTGTGGTGAGAGTAATGGTAATTCTGTGTGGGGTTGATGTTTGATCAGAGGCTATATGAGCTTACTGCAAGAAGCACAAGGACAGAGAGGTAGTTGCTTCACTGTAGGCTTTGCTTGCTTGCAACCTCCAAAACTAAAATTAGTATTCTTTTAATGAATAATCAAAACAGTTATCTTTTTGGGGCCACTAGAGGCAACATTCCCTCCCAGCTCCCAGCCTTGGGTCCATACAGTGTTGTTTAGCAGCAGCTGTAAACATTGATGTGTTATCAGCATTGTTTTTCTCCTAGAACTAAAACATAGCATTATACCAGACGGTCTGAAGAAAACAGTTCTGTTCCAGCTGAAACAAAGACAAAAGTGAAAGAAGGGAAGGAGTTAAGGAGCTGAAGAATTTGCCACGTGTTCTTGCATGGGGCAATGTCCAGGTTAGCCTTGCTGGCATTCCCAAGCTGGTCTCTGCATGGCCCTCCACACAGCGATCCCACCAGGACAAGGCTGAGCAGTGAGATCTGGGGCTAAAGTGAGAGTTTGCCTCTGATCCTGCTTGACAAAAGGGGAGGAGAGAAGGAAAAGGTAAAGACAGTCCCCGGCCTGGTGACTCAGCATCTATACACTGTTAAGCTTTGGACTGTAAACACAGCTTTTGCACCTTTCATATTCTCTGTGTTCCCAGCCTGAACGCACCTCCATATCCTATTTCAGCCTGCCTTAAGTCACTCCATGAGCACAATGAGTGGAAAAAACAGTCCAGAGGGTGAAGAAGGAGCCGGGAGGATGAAGAGTGAGAGCTGGGGGCAGAGCAACGCTGTGGGAGAGGTCAGGAGGGGCCAGGTGATCCTTGCTGCCTACCTGATCGTAACCCTGGAGCTGACCTTTCTGTTCATGCAGTTTGGAGTCATGCCTGTGAGTATGGATTGCTGGACACAGCATTTCTTGTCTTTGGTGCAAATGGCTCTTCCAGGTTTATTTTGTTCTTTTTCTGAAGGCTGTTTAATACCCCATGCTTGCTGGCAGAACCGGCATGTTAGAGCCTGCCTCAGAGTTAGCTGTGTCGGACCGTGAGCATGAGAAGTGATTCTGATTTGTCACCTGGTGCAAAACTGATGGTTTTGATCACATCCTGCTGATTTTTCTTAGTAGATAGTGTAGGCCAGAGACTTAGTATTTATTCACCAGCTTTTCTGAGAGAAAGGTGATAAACTGGAACAGGCACAGGGAGTTGGTGGAGTCGCCGACTCTGGAGGTGTTCAAGAAACATGGAGATGTGGCACTGAGGGCATGGTCCAGCCCACATGGTGTGATGCATTTATGGTTGGGCTTGATGACCTTGGATATCTTTTTCAACCTTAATGATTCTATGACAAAGATTTCATGTGTAGATAGAGGAAGCTGAAGAAAGCAACTTCTCAGAATTTTGAGCTCTGGTCCTTTACATGGGCCATGAAACTCTTTATTCAGAAATGTAGCATGTTTCATTTCCCCTGACCCATTGTTTTTTGTATTTTTCTTTTTTTAGTACTTGGCAAAGAACCTGGGTTTGGATTCGGTGGGGTTTGGGTACCTTCAGACAATCTTTGGTGTCCTCCAGCTCGTGGGAGGTCCTGTTTTTGGAAGGTGAGAACAATACTCGTGACCCTTTTCATGGCTGAAAAAGGCCAATCTCTTATATTTTTATAATAACAATAAAAAGTTTAGTTCTGTTTCATGGCCCCGCTGAAATATTTGAAGATTTCATAACAGACCAAGGGGAAAATAAATACACTCTAATTAGAAATACTGCAACATAGAAGCAGCCTTTATATTAACATAGCTATGTTTTAATGGCACACATTTAAGTGTAACAATATACTGGGAACAGGCTTAAGACATCGGAGTCCTCAGAGCCTAGGTCCTAATGGCTTAATCTTGCAAGCATTTTATAGCCACTTGTAACCTTAGAAATGTCCTCTGACTGGGGAACCTAGGGGAAAAAAAGGGTATTTATTCATGTTAAGTAGAGCTGTCAATGAAAAGACTGTAGGTCATGTTATTTCTATGGCCACATTTCCCTGAATTTAAGTCAGAGTTTAATAGAAAGTTAAAATTCCTTTGAGTTTATGTGCATTTTTAAGAACTGCTCTATCTACAAGCTCATCTACAGAAAGAGGAAAAAAGTGGGAAAAGCCTGTCTCATAGGACATGAGCTCCTGTTCCTAAAGAAGTATGAATAGCAAGAAAAATCCTAGAATGACTGTGGGGAGCCTCTTCCCAAAGGGCAGAAAAACTTGAATAAGCAGTGTGGTGATGGGAAACTGAGGAAAGCTAGCTTTTCTCCTTCGCCCTGCTACTGATCAGCTCATACATGTATAAGGTGCTGCTATGTGCTTTGTTGTCCCTTCATGGGATTCTGGTCTGTACCTGGCACATCCAAAATCTGTTTTTCCTCCAGTGTCCAGAAAAGGCACTGAAGGGAATAGGAGAAGACAAAGATTCATATGTGTATGGATTGCCAATGGTGTAGATGAGTTTGAGGGTGTATGTTGCCAGACTGAAGCCAAAATTTTTGATGTAGGTTTGAGAAGAAAAGGATTTTCCTGCGTGCAAGACTACTAGAAATAAGCTGGAACAGCTTCAGTTATCACTGAATCTGGACTTAAAAAAAAAAAAATAATCTAGCCTGATTCTTTGATCTGAACAGACTCAGAGTTGCAAAGTAAACTCACTCTTGGAGGCCCCGTCAGCTCTTGCAGGGGACCAGTGAATGTGGCCAAGGTCGCTGAACAGCTTCATCCCCCTGGAAATGCACAATCCCACTCCTTACAGCCTCTCACCAATTTTGCTCTAGGTTTGCAGATCAGTTTGGCAACAGAGCTGCCTTAACTCTCTCCTGTGCATCTGCGAGTGCCTTCTTTCTGCTCCTGTCCATCTCCACCAGCATCCCCATCCTCTTTCTCTCCAGGCTACCGTCAGTGTTCATGCATGGGCTGCCAGGTAAGGTTGGTTGGGGCTGAGGGACTTCCCAGTTTTTATCGCTAGAGTTCTCTTTTTGTGCTCATGTTACTGGAAACCAGCAGCATTAAAGAACATCTGTTGGGCACTAGGACTGAAACAATGAAAGTGTGAAACAGTTGTAACGGTGCTTGTAGTGGAAATGCTAAGTCACAACCTGAAGCAGTGATTGATCACCTGGTAGGAAGGCATGGCTAATCCAGGGGAGCTCATGTTTATGCAGTGCACCTGAGTGACTGGAAGGGGTGGAGCCAGGATCCACCCCTTCCCAGACCTCTTTTAAGGGTTAGCAATGGAGGCAAAGAGATCTTGTTGGAGATTCCTGCCTACCTGAGGGCTTTTGAGGGTAAGCAGATTCTTCTCTTTATTTCTGTGCTCACAGAAATAAATGTGTTTGAGCAAATTCTCACTTGCTGCAGCTTAGGACCTTGCTGCTCTGCTGTTATTGCTCCGTCTTCCATCACATTACAGTGCTGTAGCACTGTAGAACCCAGAGTAGTGGCTCTGGAAAGCAGGGCTTCTTCTCTATACGTCTGTTCTCAAGAATGATCTTGAGAATATTGCTTGGGCATTGACATCTGAACACAGACAGCAAAATGTTTCCCGCAGCAGCCCTATCCTGAACTTCCCTGCTGCTTTTTTGCAACCAAAAGTTTTGTAGGAGAACTTTTTCATTACTGCTGTTAAAATAAGTGAATTAGTCGCATCCATATGGGGTCGCAAAAATGGCTTTTATTTCCAACACTTCCCACCAAGTTGTTCTGCTTTAGTCTGACTTTCCTAGATGTTTCTAGTAAAAGCTGTACCACCAGCTTTAGCTAATGGGAGACTGTGCTGGTAGAGTGTTAGCCTCTTATTGCCACTTGTGAAAGGGTTGGAGTGTCCCTTTCTCCAGCTTATAGATGGAATGAATTTCTTCTGGTGGTGTGCGTGAGAATAGGGCTTAAAGGACAGTTCTGTGGCACGTGCTGATGAGACACTGGCACAGGCTGCCCAGGAAGGTGGTTTAAGAGCTGTGGAGATGCAGCACTCAGGGACATGGTCAGTGGGCATGGTGGGAATGGTTGGTGGTTGAGATTCATAATTTTAGACACCTTTTCCAACCTTAATGATTTTATAATCATAATTCATTTTTTTTTATAATTCAGTGGCTTATAAACTTGTACACATTGCTTGGGCACTGCAGCAGGCTTCTTTGCAGTGGTTGTTTCCTTACAGGTGCTCAGAAGGTCATCACAGATCTGACAGCTCCTTCTGAACGTGCTGCTGCCTTGGGGAGGCTGGGCCTTTGCTTTGGAGTAGGAATCATCATCGGCTCTGCCCTGGGAGGGGTCATTTCCACCAAATTTGGGTGAGTTTGTTTGGTGTGGCCTTGCTTGCAACGTGAACAAAGCTTGTAAGATTTAGAGCGTCCAGAAGGCTTCTCTAACTTGTGCTAACAGCTTTTTGCTAACATTTAGGGTTGATTAGGCAAAGAATGCTTCAAACCTGACCCCTGCTGAAAGGCATCTTTGTGTTCCATTGTGAATAGCACTCGAATTGAGTAACTCAGCTGTAGACCCTTCCTTGCCGTGCTGGTGGCAGTAGAGGTTCACACCAGAACTCAGTATTTTGCTATCTATGTTGCTGTGAAGAACTACTTGCTGTGTTTTTATGGAGGTTTTTTATTATGATTTAAAAACAAACAAACAAAAACAAACAAACAAACAAAAAAAACCCAAAAACAAAAAAACCCCATGTTTTTCATAGTAGCAAAGATGTGTAAGGAAAGAAGTTGAAGTAAGAAGTGGAGCCTTTCTCCCTGCTTTTCTCTGGAGCTACGTGTGCTGAAAAGCAGCATGCACTGCATAGCCTACCTCTAGCAATGTTGTACAGTTGAGAAATGGAAACCCGATGCAGAGTGAAACTCTTGCAGGGATTGATGCTCAGTATGGAGAAAGATGTCAGGGAAAGGGAAAGCAAAGCTGGGATGTGGATGGGAAGAGATGGAGGAGGTCAAAGCACACACCTGTTGCTCTTCTGTATGCTTTCTAGTGCGTGGCATGATGTAGCAGGCTGTCACCTTCTATGTGCTGCAATAGAGAAGAAATTCCTGGTTGTATTGAATTTTAGTGGTCGTTGTTTGTTATTAGTAAAATACGCAGGGAACTCTGCAGGCAGGGAAATGCATGTGGCTATTATCTTCTAGGGAGAGTCCCCCTGTATTTCTGTAGATGGTGGGGAGAAGCCTTTGCAACCTTTTGAGCATTAATTTGACTTTGTTTTTCTTACGCACTCTTGCTTTTGCACGCTCATTTTTAGCATGGAAATCGTTTATTTTTCAACCTCTGCCAGTATTGTAGCTGTTCAGTAGTGCAGGATGAAGGGTTTTCAAGATATATATAGACGTGTGTGTGTGCATATGTGTTCGGGTGAAGCCGGTTTCCAGGCACGGCGCTTACCTCTGAAGCAGTCCTTGCCCAGATGGTCGCTGTGCCCGCTAGGTGTCACCGTCGGCTCGTTCTGCAACTGATGTCACTAACAAATCCCTTCCCATCCAAGTCCGTGCATCCGGCGGAGGGCGGCTTCAGCCCACAGTTCATGCGTGGCCGATGGACCATCCCATTACGGTGCCTTGGGGGCTGCTGCTCCTGCCATCTCGTAGAACGGCCCCTGCAGCATCAATAGTGACCTCCGGCTGTGTCTGTGACATTGTCCTGGAGGGAAAGGAGTGGGTGTCATGTTAACGAATCCAGGGATCATTGTCCCTGTTGGTGCATCCCTTCCTGTTTCCCATAGTGAGACAGGAAGACTCCAGCCGTACTTGGAGCTGTGTCGCTTCCCTTTCTCGTACACAAATGCCCCAATTGACTTCTTTGAAAAGAAATATTTCTGCCACGTCACGGATGAGCAAAGCTGGAGAGTTCTGTCCATTTGGCATTCTTTGCCCTCCCTTGCTACAGAGTGTTCCCAGACATGCATGTTGACAGCATTATTCATATGTTAGTAGTGGTTTGTATACACGAGAGGGGGTAGAAGTCATTCTTGGTTCCTCGGCTGATGTCATTTTGCTATTATTCCACTGTATTGTATTTACCATTGATGTACTTGACCTAAAGAGCTGGTCTGTTATTGTTTTCATTGTTAGGCTAATATTTATTGGCTCTTATTTACCAAGGGAGCCCCAAGAAGGAAAAACTGAGTGACTTGTTCTGATCTGTTTGTCCTTTTTGGATGTCAAATCCAGATCTCTACTCCTCAGCTGTAGCCACCAGCTCCAGTCTTTCCTCTTCTCTGAAGTGCTGTGGTTTTTTCCCCCCCCCATTTTCCAAAGTTTTGAATGATGTTACAGCAAAGAAATCATCTGTGAAATGTAGCTTTGCCTTTTGCAAATGAAAGAGCTGCTTGCCAGTTGGTTTCACCCTCTTGAACTTAATTTTTAAAGGCTTACTCTTAATATGTAGCCCTGTCCTCTCACCTCTGAACAAACTGCATGCAGCCGTGGAGAATGAGCTTTCTGTGGGCAGAGTGATGGTCAGACAGTTTTAAACCACCCGAGCATCAGATATAAAGCAATTAGTTAAAATTACAACTGCTTGTGATCATTGTTTGGGGAGTGTTTTCATGTTGATGTGCTTTTTAATTGAAGTTTTCTGGTCATTTGACAGCTAGAATAGGATAGTGAATATAATACCCAGCTTAAAACCAACTCCTGTAGTTCACCTGAAGTCTTCATGTTATTAGCGAGCATGCAGAATCCATCACAGCCCAGCCACAAAAGGGGCTGAGAAAAGCATCTCTGTGGTGTGCAGCACAAAGTTTACTATGCTCTGGGCACTCATTGGAAAGCTGCAGCAGATCTGTGTGCACCACGGGAGAGGTGACCGTGTACTTCTTGCAGGCTTTCGTGTCAGTGCTGCAGGTGAAGGGTGAGAGAAGGAGGCTGGATTAGTTTTCAAAAGCAGAAAGATGAGCCTAAGGTAGTTAATTAGAGAGATCTCATCCTTTCTTCTGAGCCAGTGATTAATTGCATTTGGCTCCTCTTTCTTCTTTCTTTCTAACAAGGACATACGGAAGCGTTGCAGCACGACCCAAGATTTGTTTGCTTTCTATGGACGAGGAGATGTTTCTTCATTTCAGTGACTCAGCTTTAGGCTTAAATCTCTCAGAGCAATTATTCTTTTGAACTTGGGATTTTCCTGGCCAAACCCCTTTGGTCTCTTATTTAATATTATAGCAGGCTTTGGGGATGGTTGGGTTTTTTACTTCCCTTCCTGACTGTGCTATTACCCTTCTTCCTCAAGGGGAAAAGAGGGAACTTGTTCACCCAGAGGAGGGGATTGCTTTTCTTTTCAATAACCCATTTGAACTGTGTCCTCTGGCAGGGAATTTTTCATCACTTAGCGGCTGAGTGGAAAGACTGTGGGTGTTGAAAGGGCTGAAAGTTGGGAGCTGGGAGGGCGGGTGGGAGAGTGGCGGAGGGAGAGGGGGGTGCGTTCTGCTCCTGCACAAAGCCAGGCATTCTGCTGCCCAGAGCCGCTCCTGCTCGTTCCAGAAGAAACTGTGACATTTTCCTGCCTGGAATGATGTCGTTTGGTGATGCTGGCACAGGCCTTGCTTTGTCTTTTGTGTCAAGGGGCTCTGGGGAGAGGGAGGTGCCTGAGCTGCAGCGTCTGCCACCATCGGTCAGGCTCTGTGGTGCGTAGGAGGCATGGGGAGGGAATAAGAAATGGGCTGTTGGTCAGTGAGCTGACAGATTAGGGAAGGTGCAGAAAATAAGTAGGAAAAAATAACACCAAAACAAGAGAACAACAACAAGGTCCAGGAGATTCAAGCCATTTCTTCTCACCTACTCTGCATGATGCTGGTTCTAGCTTTGGAAACCATTGTCCCAAAGACTGTCTGTACGGTCTATGTTAAACATCCTTGGACAGAGTATCCTGCACCTCATCTCCTAGCAACTTGTTGGATCAAGGCTAAAGTCTGGGCTGCTTCTCCCTTCCATCTCCTACAGCTCAGCTTTCCATGCCTGATGACTTGTTTAACCTATTCCTGAGCATGAGGAATGTCTCCGTGCAGGTGGAGTTCACTTAAGCTCAGACATCTACAGGGGGTGGGGGGGGCAGCTATACCTACATCTACTGTTCAGGCTCTAGGTGGCCAACAGAGAGAAATGGGATGTTCCTTCTTAGGAAATGTGCCTGAAACAGCTCAGGGAAGTGTGTGTCTGGCTTATGGGCCCGGTGACCACATCGTGAGCTGGCTTTCTGCAAGGTTGTGTTGAGAAGGAACAAAACAACAGAATGCTGTAGGAAGGTACCGAGGTATTTTGGGCCTGACCTCAATAGAGGCAGCATGGAGGGCAGGAGGTGACCCTGATCGCTCTGCTTGTACAATGAGACAGTGTCTACTAATGACTCATTGGAACTTCATCTGCTCTTCCCAGTCCTGGAACTTTTCATGACTGGGAAGCAAATCCAGCAGTATCACTCAGGACTGAAATCCAGGGAAATACTGTTTTCTTTGTTAACACTAAGCAGAAAGCACAGAATAGGCTGAGGTTAAGTCCCTGAAGTGGGATTTGGGACTTGGCTCTGCTGCAGTTTTCCTGTGATGTAAGTTGTCCCTTCCTTCTGCAGTGGTGTTCCTCAGGCATAGAATGGGGGCAATTAGATTTATTTTTTTTTTTCCCCTCCCTCTCCTAATTCATATTCTGTACCGCTATTTGGATTACACAGCCTTTGGGGTGCTGACTCTTTCCATCACGAGATGTACGCATGCAAATATCTTCTACCTTGGAGGAACACAGCCAGTTTTTCTGGTTGTATCCTCTCCTGAGTGGGCAAAGCACAGCTGACATCCCATTTTTGGGACGCGTTTCTTTTTATTGTTTATGAGAAGCATGTGCCAGCATTTTGCTATTTCAGAAAAGCAGCAGAAAAAATGAATCCCAAACAGCCATAAAGTTCGGTATGGTTGAGGCCACCAGAGGAGGGGGCAAAAGAGCAAGGCTGAGCCCAGCAGGAGTTTGGAAGCACCTGGAGGGCACCGTGGGATGGTACAACCTTCCTCAAGTCATGCACACACGCACCTACATGGGCAGCGTTCTCCTTTACATCTCCTAATCCTACAGACTCTAAGGGTTGTGCTTGCACTGAGTTCTGACCTGCCCCAGTGAATGACCCAACCCTGTGGTGGGAGTGTGGGGAGCTCAGGGCAGGAAGGATGTGTGGGAAGGATTGTTGGACAGGGAGGGGATGAAAGGTTGGGATGAATGTAAGAGCTTGGCATGGGAAGGTGGACTGGGTGGAACTGGGGTCTGCAGGCTGAGACTTCTGGCTCAGGGAGCTGAGGGATGAGGTGTGTGGGGAA